TTACAAAACAGTTTTAAAAAATCTTATAGTGCTTCTTAGAAAGCATTTGGAAAGCTTTAAAAAAACTCTAAAAAGATATCCTAAAATGATCATAATAGGATTTTTGAGAAGGCTGGCTTTGTGTATGGTGGGTTGTTTCAAGCAGCGCCATGTTTCTCTCGCTCCTCACTATGTATCACTATGTATGCCTACACATAAATGCTCGCAATGTTTTAATACAGGGATTAGCCGAGCTGAAAGCGACTTAGGCTCTCGTCATATTTTCATATGAGAAATTTCAGTTCCGTTAACCGGGCGTATAAAGTTATCAAAATATATGAAAATCATATATGGCAACTGCGGGGTGAAGAATTATATGAAATAAGATCATCGCAGTTGTAGACGCAACTTTTGCAGTTGTTGTTGTTTGTTGTTAGTTGGGAAAAGAAAGCCCTTTGCAGTTGCGTCTATAACTGCGATGATCTTAGTTCTTTCATATAATTGTTTATGTATAGTTTGCATCAACGTAAAAAAACTATGATTTATTGTTAGCAGTAGCTCTGAAAGTTCCTTGACCATTCGCTCTTTAAAATCAAGAGTTCCCTTTTTATGATAACTTTTATAGCTTCCAAAAGAGGAAAACACCATTAAACTTCCTTTGTTTCGGCAGAGACGCATGCGGAATAAAAACTAAACCGTTTGTTCCAACAACCGATACTGTCGATCAGCGTCCTAATGTATCTCCATTAGTGACCTTTGCGGAACCAACATCAACCTTTTTTGTCCACGTTCTTTACTGAAATATTTTTCAAATTCTTCTGAAAGGCAGACGAGCAACAGAGAGAAAAAGGGAATTAAAAGTGTGAAGCGAAAAAAATAACAAGCCATGATATCATCCTAGTACATCACCTGGCTCGCTGTACTCCTTACCATGTCTCTTGCTGTAGTGACAGTACTAGTGACCCTTCTCTTAATCGTTCTGTTTAAAAAAACCGCAGTCTTCGCGCTCGTGCCATGTACCTTGTTATAAACCTGAACACAGCTGATATGTTTGTCAGAGGATTTTCTCACTTTTCTCTATTTGTAACCTTACTCTACTTATGCGACATTGTGCAATTTCCGCACTTAACCCTAGAACTGGCATTAACAACTGACTTTCTCTTCGTCTGGTTTCCTCTGACCTCTCTTACAAACATTGCAGTAATGTCATTGGATCAGATGCATGCAACAATTCGTCCCTATACAGCCCTTAGGCATCGCCTCATTAAAAAGTGACAACATCCACTATCGAGGTTCTCCGTGAGGAAGTCGAACTCAGCAACACGCGTACTGCCCACGTTATGCACATTCCCAACACACTGAGTCTCACCTCAGCAAGAAACAACCGCAAGCAAAAATTCCAATAGCGTTTCTCTTCAGTCAACTTCATTTTAATAATGTTACTTCACATGCTCTTTTTTACGGCGGCCATCTTGTTATGCGCAGTAAGAGATGCGCAGTGCAAAACCAGGGAATCACCTTAATTGTTAATTGTCCAATGTGAAGCACGGTACAAAATATCAGTCAAAGCAGGAAAAGGTGTTTTCTACATGATTTCTGGTCATGTCCTTGAGAAAAATACTTAAAACATTTATACGTTTTTTCCTTCCTTTTTCAACAGAAAATACGTCCACACGGTCGCTTGTACGGTCGTCTTTGTAGGACCCGCATTTTGTGTTCAACGCTTATCCGGGCCGCATTGCTACTTGTCCTCTTTCCAGCTGTTCCAACAAAAACGATGGTCCACGCGGTCGATATAACTGTATTTCTACCATTTCTTGTAAAGGATCCATTTGTGTAGGAGTTTTAACCAATTTCTATGGTAGGTTCTTCGTTGAAGAAGGACAATTTATCAAATACACACCCTCCACATCGTCCCTCCACTTAGGCAGCCATTTTTTTCATTTATTGACCCCGCCTCGCTTTGGCGCGCTGAATCTTCCGGAAGTCAACCAGGTTACCGGAAACTGTTTCCGCATGGTCCGCATAGTTCTAAAAATAACTTTTTTGGGATTAAGATATCCCAAAGGCGTGACTGGGAGTGTCCCTCTCTGTCCTATTATGGCTCTTGGCGGGGTAAATACATGTAAATAAAGTCGAGCGCGGTCTTTTCAACTATTCTCTGGATCGGATCAGCCCGATCAAGCCCTCATTGTACGGAGTATATGCGAGCTCTTTTTTGCCGTATCCGAGTCGAGAATTTCTGTGTTAATTCGAAATCATTTCCCTTAGAAGCGATTGGTACTTCAAAGAAAATTTTAACAGATCGGACAGGTTAGGAGAGTTCAAGCTTCTCTTCTGACAACCGGAGATGGGCAGCCTTCCTTCGTTACATTGGTTCAAAGGCGAGGCCAATTCAGCCTTAGATCAGTAGGTTTCCCTTGCGATACATTAATTCTGGTTTTTATAACGACTTGCTTAATCGTAAGACTCCATGAAGGTAAGCAAAGTGTTCGATTTTTTTTTCCTTTTTAATTTATTTATTTCTGCCTCGAACATATCCGCGCCAAAACCTTCTAAATGCCCGCCAAATTAAATTTGACGCGCTCGGGAGTGAGTGTACAAAGGCCATACCCCTATCAACCTAAATGTTCTTCACAGAGAGGGGGTTGAGTATTGCTTGTTAATTGTAATAGTCCATGGGCCAGGACCTCAAATTTGATGATTTGGTACCAAAAAGAGGGACAAAGAGTGGCTTATATTTTTAAAAACTATGACTCCGCTAGTTTATTTTAATGTATGATAACCATGTCAAATGAGTAGTTTTATAGGGTTTATCACGTGATGAAATGACGTCACTCGGCTTTCTACAATGTCAAATAAATGTACATACATAAGTTTTTCCTTATGTTTTTACCCATTTTTGGGGGACACGTTTAGATGATTGAATAGTACCACTGTTTTGCAAGTGATTTTCGAGGCTTTTGTAGCAAAATTAGATGAATTGTGGTTTTTGTTCCCATGGTAACATAGAAAAGTAGCCCTTTGAACAAGAGGGTCGATATGAATTAAAGTAATAAAGATGAATTGTTTGAAAAAACTGTTAAATGATAGTTCTAGATGACAACTGGATACTAGTTTGACTCAGGTGTTATAACTAACTATGAGGCTGCTATCTATGACATTACCTTTTTGGCGGCCATCTTGGATCCGCCATCTTTGATTTTCAAACATGCCAATTTTGTCCCCTGAAGTGCCCCAAAACGATCAAAACTGGAAGGAACATGCAAAATCCTCATAATTCAAGCTGTGAAAGAAGCTGCTCTCAAAACTATAAACTAAAAATCCATAGTTGCAAACTCTTCCGGCAAAAGCATTAATTGTGGTTTTTCTGCGAAGCCATACTTTTTGGACGTCCGAGGGTAACATGCAAAACGTTATAATTCCTCTTACAGTGACCATTTGTTTTTATGTATTTTGGTTGCACATTTAGCAAGTCATGTTTAAATGTAGCAACGACTAGCAATGACTGTATTCTTCTTTGGGCAATAAATCATGTCGACAGCCAAGGGAAATATGCTGAGAAACAGAATCAGACCACATATTCTAGTCCTCGTCACTCTTGTCATCATCAGCATCGATGTCTACTGTGACAGCTTGTTCTTCTCGCCTGTTATCACACTCGGATGGCCGGCACATGTCTGTGCACTTAAGACCATTCGCAAGGCAGCTGCAGTTCGGAAGCCTACAAGATCTTGTGCAAGAACAACAGAGTAGCTCTAAAACTGTTGCAGGAGCTGGCTGACCACTCATCCAATCAGTCCCTAACTTGTTCTCATCCTGAATCCAGCCATGTCTTAAGGAACTCGGAATTTCAGGGCAGTTCTCAAGACTTCGCCTCCAGATGCCTGTTTGATAGTTTGCTCGACACGCATGTTTATACAGGCAATCAGCGCAAGGTGGTAGTTGGTCGGACTCGATGTTACCTCTCTTTGAACAGAATAATCTATATCTTAGCTCATTGATGCTGTTTCTTCCTGGGCGGGAACTGTACATACAACAGGTGAAATTCTGAAGCATCTGAAATAGATCATCTGAGAGTTCCCATTCCACTCCTAAGAGCTGAAACATTTCCTGAAAGGTTCTCTGTTCTTTAACGATTCGAAGTGCACCAATATTACCCCGCCCAGCAAAAGCACTCACGGTGTCGCAACCAGTATAAGCGTGCATGCCAAGGAGACTGCTGCACAAATTTTGACCAAGGGCTTGCACTATACTCGTGGACCTGATGTATCTTACTCTTGTTTGTGTTCCACACTTAAAAAATATTGACGACGGAATTAAGTGCTTGAATGACACACAAAGAAATGATTACGCATGGATTACAAAGACTTATGGGTTGTATTCTTCCCACGATGCACTGCAGGTCCCAAACTTGTTGGGAGTTAGTGCATCCGTTTGCACACCACTGCCAACACGCACGCAACAACTGCCAACATTGTTGGCGCAATAATGTTGGGAGTTGTTGCGCCCGTTTGCACACAGCCTTAAAACACAATTGTGAACTCAGACTTTGGAATTTTTTAAGGCTACTTTCACAAAAAACAGCGATAAAATCAAAATTCGTCGATAGATGTCCTCCAAAAATTTTCAGAGCTACAATTAAGTAGTGTTCTTTTCAACCCCTGAATTTCATGACCGTTCAAAACTTATAAAGTTGTCCAATACCTTTGTTCGCTTAAAATTTGGTGAATATTGAGGTACTCACGGTTTTAGTCTTAGATAATATTGTGCCCCGGGATTTCCTATTTCTTATTGCGACCTTACCGTTCACGAAATATTTATAATTCTTTGTTTGTTCATATATAAAAAACCGAAAAGGGGAAAAAGGACAACTTTTAGGAGGAAGAAGGTGTGTCTCATTAATTCTACGTTGGTTTTGAATTTTGAATCTATCGGGGCGTTTTGTAGGGCTTGAGGATGAAGAATAATGAGGTAGCGTGCCTTGTGTAACCCACGGAAGTGGTGCATGTCTTTTTTGTTTACAGACCGATCTTTGCGGGACAATTTATGTGGAAGTCATGAAGACACCTGTTCTTTTCCTCTTTGTTCACTTTTGGCTCCCTCTCCTGGGCAAAGCAGCACCAAAACGCGAGTGGATTGAGCTCTCATACCAATTCAACAGTGAGACCATTTACTGGCCTACTTCCTTGGCTTTCAAGCACATCAGACTAAGCGAAAATTTTATCGCCGCTGGTTTCTATTATTCAGCGTATGACATCAGTGCTGCTGAACATGGGGGAACCCATATTGATTCTCCGAGACACTTTGCTGCAAATAGGTGGACCACTGACCAGATACCTTTAGATCGGCTCATTGGACCTGCCATAAAGATAGATATGTCCTCCAAAGCAGCCCAGGTAATGGTTCTTCTTCAATTTGGGAATGCTGTAACCCAGTACTAGTTATGATCCTAGCCTGTGCAATTTAGTCAAACCTCCTTTTTTTTCTCTTTTTTTGGGCGACTAAATTTTAGTTAGTTTCTACGCAATCTTGCAGTAAGCCGATAAAAGAAACGATAACATCCCAAAAATAGTCGCATAGTGGACTTCAGCGCAAAACTGATCCCGTCTCCATGCGCGATTATGCGCAACCTCAAATGTAGCTAAAGCAAATTGTGAAGAGTCAATTATAGTCGCAGAAACATGGCGCACCTCGAGCTCCCAGAAACCTGTCTATCAAAGTGCCCTATTATTCACAGACCCGCCGTAAAACCAATCGATGATTTGTTCCTCAGAACCGTGATTACCAGGTGATGCCGAGTGACTTAGAAGCCTGGGAAGAGAAAAACGGAAAGATTCCTGATGACATCATATTGCTTCTGTTTTTTGACTGGGGAAAGCGTTGGCCAGATAAACTAACTTACCTCGGTACTGACACGAATGATTTGTCCTTGCTGCATTTCCCGGGTAAGTTAATCTATACCATCACTTCATTTTTTTTTCTTTGTTCTCTGAAGGTGTTACCGGTATCCACTCCAAACTTCGGCTTGGGTTGATAACACACTCCTCCCTTCCTCGCTGTACGTGCATTATTCTTCATCCTGCACAACTCGCCCATTTTTTGTTTTATCTTTTAATTCAATGTTAATGAGACAATCGCGTGGAAGATGCGCGTTGGGGAGATGAAAAGGGGGTTTCTTTCATTTCCCACTCTTTCCTTCCCATGGTCCTATTCGCTAAGATGCCGTAATAGTCCTCCGCGAGCCTTCCGTGGCCGCTTACAAATAACATGAAAGACGACTGGGGACGAGTCAACTTCATCAGTACACGTCATCATCATCTCTTCCCCTCCCCCTCCCCTCTTTCTTTTTAGGCTCTCGTTGAATTTTTCGCGCTGTAAAAGCAAAAATCTCGTTTCTCATAGTCAGCCTCATACAAATCATCGTCAGTAAAGTTACGTAGGTACAAAAGCCAATTTAGATTTCTTTGTTCCATGATGATTTCTTTGCTTTTTAGACTACTTGTGTACACAATGTGAATACCATTCCTTTTCAACACTTTCAACGTTGTGCACTGTCAGGGCTCCTGGTACAATCAACTGCTGTCGACTAAGTAATAAACAAACTCATGAAACAAAAAAAACTGTTGGGCCCTTATATCCATTGAACTTCTGCACAAAAGCTTTGTCCAAATTAATTGTATATCATTTATACCTGAAGTCTTTTTTGTATGTTTGCGTGCAGGGATACACCCTAATGCCTCCCGTTGGTTGGTAAAGAATCGCAAGATCAAGTTGATTGGTGTAGATACAGCATCTATCGACTTCGGACAATCGACGCTTTACGAATCACATCAAATTCTTTACGAGAGGAATATTCCTGGTCTAGAAAATGTCGCCCACATGGACAAGTTACCCATAAAAGGCTTCACGTTGTACGCAGCTCCAATGTTTATCACTGGTGGTAGCGGAGGGCCTTGCAGAATCTTTGCTCGTCTGGATAAAACTGTGAATCCTGCAATCAGGGATGACGAACTTTGAAGAAAAAAAAAATTATGCAAATTAGCTGGCTGCACATTCAATGTGCAGCCAGCTAATTTGCATAAGTAATTCAAAACCAAGGTCTGACTGCTCTAGGCTCTTGAGGAAGTCGTCAGAGCAAGAGTCTCTTGGTCAGAGTTAAAGACTGTTTCATTAAGTAGAATAGCACATGATAACCTCGTAAATAATGATGATGCAACCATCTTCAACAATGATTTTAATAGCTATTCCGGTATTCGACCAGCTTCATTATCTCAACAATAAACCATGAAGAAACTATGAAACCTTTGAGTCTTCCCTCTGACTTAAACAATTAGTTTATTTTGCAAGGAAAGATAGAGAAAAGTCAAACTATAGTATGAGGATCGACTCAGTTGTGCGTAGCGGTTCGCGTTTTCATTAATGTACAGCAATACCTAATTTCGCACAAAACTGAGCCTTGATGTAGATCAAAACAGTAGATTATTGGTACAGTTACACTGAAGCATTCAAAATAGCTCATGCACGTTAAACGTGCCTATGTTTCTGTGCAATTTTCGTGGCCGAGTGGTTTTTAGCCTGCGAAAACATCCGTTTCTCCTCGCTCTTCGCCGCTGGGGACGTACGACCCCAGCGGCGAGCGAAGAGCGTACGTAGCCTGCGTGGCAGGCGTCAATGTATTCCCTTTCGAACGCCTTACGACGAGCGAGGAGAAACGGATGTTTTCGCAGGCTAAGTGGTTTTAAAGTAGGGGGGGCGAAGAATTGAGTATTTTTTAGCTAACATTAAGGAATTCGTTATTTTGTAGAAAAAATATTGTTGTTAACACCCTGAGAATTAGACTACTCATCGCCAATTCACACACTTTTAAAGGTTCCCGGTCCGAAAAGACACCCTGTTCAAGACGCTAAATAGTAAAATTGTGCCTACTCAAGCCTCTGAAAAACATACCCTGATCAGCAGCTCATACCCGCGGTTTATGCCAACTAAAGGAGTGCCCAGCACACTAAGGGAAATAACAGCCATCAAAAATCCACGAAATTGCTGGGTGGCACCCTCGGTTAATTCATGAGACATGCATTTTTTGTAAAATTTTTAGCTCAGTCTTTTGAAAGAGAATATTTCCGAAGCTGTTCGGTACATTGGAGTCAAATTATGTGGAGATTACTAAAGTTACCTCGGTCGTAGTTCAATAAATTTATAGATCGGATGCTTTCGATTAGGATCTGGATTTAAATTTTGAAAGCTGGCTTTCCTATTTGTAATCGAAACGCGATTTACTTTTCTTTCCGTTTTTTGTTTTCTTTTGTTTTTGTTCGTTTTATTTATTCTTTTTTGGGGGCGGGGGAGGGGTGGGGAATATGACTGAACTGTTCTCAGGGATTAGCAGGAAAACACGAGAACAGCTTTGCAAATGTTTTTTTCGGATTATGCGCTTATTGTAAAATCCGAAATCCGGATTGCAAATCCAAATCCAGATTTTCTTTGCATGTGCTGCACATGTTCTGCACGTGCCAGTTAATCATCTAACGAAGTTCCCAGTGTACCAGCGTTAGTGCTGGTTACCTTCATATACACAAGTAAATTGGGCAACTACAAAATCGTGAGAGTCATAAATTGCTTCATTTCCGTTTTCTTTGCTTTTGTTTCTTCTCTATAAATGATGTGGCGTTATCCGACCTGATTAAAACAAGGAAGTTCAAGTTAAAAAAAAGCATAATTCAGCAGCAACTTTTTAGCTAATTAGTAGGGGTAGGTACATTTAGGGGTAAAAAATGATGGCCAAGACAATTATTCATGGTAATTACCGAAGCTTTAATAGTGAAATATTATTTCTCAAAACAGATGTGCAGATAATTTATAAGAACGTAGAAATCGAGGAAAGATTATTTTTCGCTGGAGTTATCTCCAACGCAGACGTCTTTTACAAAGCGAACTGATATTTTTCAAACAAAAACTGTTAATATTCTTTTTCGCTTCATCAGTGGGGACATCCAGCAAAGCATTTGCGAAAGGTTAGTTATTTAAACAAAACGAAACGGCTGAACAAAACTAGCCTGTACACAGACGTTGTTTTATTTTTCTTTCCGTTCTTTTCGAAAACATCGGCGAGCGAGAACGAGCGCGGAGCGCAAGAAAGATAAATAAAGACTTTTCTCCTTCCCCACCCCTAACCCCTTCCGCTAGCGGTCACTAAATCCCACGCGGTTTTTGTTTTTTATCACGCGCGCTCGACGGACTTTGAAGAGAAAATAGAGGGTCTGTGAACAGGCTAGAACAAAACGAAACATATTAAAGGTTTTTACTGCGGTATCATGCAGTCAGTGAGCATTAATTTGATGTTAATCTTAAAGAAGCAAATATAAGTCCTACTTACACCGCGGTTTAGGACATTCAGTGACCTTCAGACCTTTTCAATTGTAGTACGGGCACCCAACGACTGTTTTCTGTTAGAAGATTAAGCACAGTCATTTTTTTCTGGAAATTTCTAAAGATAGCTCGAGAAACTGGGTTAAAAGTTTTAGATGAAATTAATATAAGTTATTCGAAGTTTCAGTCTATTAACTGTTCTACAATTTTCTGAAGGTTTAATCATCACTTTGTAAAAAAGACCGGACTTCTAAAATTTTCGCCTTTGGAAACAGTAACGGAAAGGGGTATCGCAAAATGGTTAGTTTCCAGTAAAAAATTAAAATTTAAAGCATCAAAGATTTTGCGACGCCCTAAGATGACGCGAACAGATAGTTTACTGAGCTTTCTAGAGCGCATTTGCAAAGCTTTGAAAACAACCTAAAAAGATATCCTAAAATGGTTTTTGAAGAATATTGGAGAAAGCCGGCGATAGGTATAACAGATATCTAATCTTTAAGTACCGAATAAACCTAAGTTCTATACCTAGACCACGTTTTAGCTATTAGGACAGACGTCCGTGGGGGAGAAATGAATGCGTGACAAACGAACCCCAAAGGACGTTTGCGGGGAGGCTAAATCGGAAGTGGCCACGAGAATTTTCACATGTTTCTGACGTAGGTTGTTTCAAGTAGCGCGTGTTTCTCTCCTCCTCACTATATATACCTTCATTGATATATTCTAGTGCAATGAAAAATATTTAAATACAAGGATCGGCCGAGCCAAGCAACGTGGACCGTCTTCATATTTTCATGAAAAATTTCAGCTCCGTTAACCGAGTGAAATTGTTCACGTTTGCACGAAAGTAGACTCGGAAAAATGACTACGATTTTTTTTTGCTATTAAGCTTTGAAAGTTCTTTTGACAGTAACTTCATTAGATTGCATGCATGCAACAATTCGTCCCTTCAGGCTTCGCCTCATCAAAATTAAAAGTGGACCTACGGGTCAACAATTGCTGGTGTCTGGGTTTTAACTGTAATGTTATCAACCGCCACTTTTATAATCAGACAACGATATGGAGAATGGTCATATAGTTATTACGTATTGCAATCATTCATTTTTTTGAGTCAATTGATTATCTAGTTTGTTTCTTACTCCTCCATTGTTCTCAAATTTCTGTGTGGAGCGGCGGTCGATCAAATAGTATAGGGCCGATTTGTTTTTTGGGCTAATTGACGAACAAAGTTCTAATTAAAAAAATATGGGGTAGATATATTAAGCGGAAGATGATAAGCAAAGGAAATTATTCAAGGGTATCTCACTCTTCAGTGCAATGTTTCCCAAAACAGTCATGTGCAGATAATTTAAGACCGGATGATTATTCTTCGCCGGAGTAACAATGTCCAAAGCAGATGACTTTTATAAGCCTAACTGATGATTAATTTTTCAAATATAGATGCATATTTTTCCCATCGCTTTATCAGAGGAGACATCCAGCAAAGCATTTTGTGAAAGGTTAGTTATTTAAAATAAGAAAAACAAAAAAAGTTTTAACTTTGGTATCACCCAATTGAGTATTTCTTTAAAAACCGGATATTTGACCTAAGTCCTGCTTAGACCACTGGTGCAAACATTCAGAGGACCTTCAGATCTTTTCATGTGGTAGAGGCACACAAAGACTTTTTTTTGTAGAATATCTGTTCAAAGAATCTCAGTATTGTCTGTACATTGCTTATTTAATAGCTCAAGATAGGTTTAAAATTCACAGATGAATGTTCCATTGTTTGTCTCAGTTTTTGTAATTCAGTCTGTTAATGTTTCTACGATTTACTGAATTTGGGTTTTTACCTTTTCTTTTCCCAGGTTTAGTCATCATTGGTAAACTTGAAGGACTACTGGAATTTTGGGCTTTCTGAAACAATAACGGAAACAGGTATCGGAAAAAGTTGAGCATAGAACGCGCGCATTTTCAGAGCTATAAGAGCACTCTTACTAACTGAAGTATTTGGAAAGAGCTTTTATATATCTAAAGCTCGTTAAAATGAGCACATTTTGCAAGTCCCTTAGCCCATTGTTATATCTAGGTTCCACAGTATTTTGCCATATAAGCTGCTGTCGAGCTCACTATAGACGTCAGACCTAATTTCCTTCGTTAAGTCGTAAGGTTTTATTAATGTGGCGGAAGACCTTGTTGCAACCCGTACGGGAGTTACAAGACAAAAAACCTTGAAGAATGGTAACAAATTCATTTGACACAAGCTACGTCACATAAAAAAAATATTTATGGAGCTAACATGACAAGAAGTTTGGTTGACTTTGAAATTGGTAGAAGATAACTGACAATGCAATCGACTTTTTCCGTTCTCACTATGGATAATTGATTGTCTTAAAAGGGTTAGCTGAAATGGTCAGTCATTCTTATACTCAGGTGAAGAAGCGCCGGCGTCAGTTAGTTAATTATTCAGCTGAAAACTATATGTCAACATTTATATTGTCGCCCTCAGTTTTCAGTCAACTGATTGTAATGTCCCCTCACACGCCTTTGATATTTTCTTCCATAGGACAAAGCAAACAACAAAACAACTGAAAAACTTTTAGTTAAGGTGAGCATTTTTGCATACTTTTATCAGACAATTACAGATCAAATACTGTTTTAACGGGGCTTTAATT